CCATATGAAACCCTGGAGAACTGCTGCCAGTCAGTGCAGGCTAGTTGAAGAAGGATATTGAGCAGCTGGAAGGTGAGCAGAGGAAGGCAACCAGGATGATAAAGGGTCTGGAAACGGTTGAGGCAGTTAGAAACCAAGACTGATCCATATTATAGATATGGAAGATAACATTAAACAGAACTGTGTGTAAAAAAAAAGGAAAAAGGGAAACTCTGTTTTGTCTGTTGACCGTCAGGAAAGGAAAACCTGTCTCTGTCATGGGCTGTGTGAGTTTCAGTTGCTCTGCTGTGCCTTACCCCTTGTATCAGAGGACCTTGGTAGTAGTGGCTGAGCCTAGAAACTGCTAATAGCCAGGAGGAAAAAACTTGCCCTCCTCATGGGCTACAAAAATTCCAGTTGCGAAAGTTCCACTCCCTTGTCTGAAGAGCTGCTCAATGGCCTCTGCTGCCTAGTAGGAGGTAGTAGAGAGCTGGCACCAGGATAGACAAAGGACAAAGGCAGGATATGTTGCCTGGATGATGCTGGTACCCTATGGGCCTGGTGTGGTTTCTGTTCCAGATACTAATACTGAATGAGGTTGTATTATGATGATCTTTTGTAAACTGATTTGAGAGCCTCCTGGGTCTGTAAAATGTGAAATAAGTATTCTACAAATACAAATAAAAACTAATCATCTCATATTTTAGGGACCACTTTGTGAGATAGAGGAAGTTCTTTCTTGAGCACTTATACTGTTCAGCACCCTTCATGTAGCTTTTTCCTGTTAATCCTTGAAAAGTGGTCAATATTGAGGGTGGGAAATTGAGGCAAGATTGTGGCTTGCCTATCTAGCGGGTCTGTGGCAGAAGCAAGTTTCAAACTAGGGGAAGTCAGATTTCTAGCTGAGTCTCAAAGTCACTGGTCTTCACAAGCTCTCATATACAGTGGTGCCTCGCAAGACGAAAAGAATCCGTTCCGCGAGTCTCTTCGTCTTGCGGTTTTTTCATCTTGCGAAGCAAGCCCATTAGCGGCTTAGTGGATTAGCGCTATTAGCGGATTAGCGGTCTTAGCGGATCAGCTGATAAGCGGCTTAGCGGCTTAGCTGATAAGCGGCTTAGCAATCAGCTGTTAAGCGGCTTAGCGGCTTGGGAAAAAGGGGGGGGGAGGGAAAAAACCCTGCAGGAACTCGCAAGACATTTTCGTCTTGCGAAGCAAGCCCATAGGAAATTTGTTTTGTGAAGCACCTCCAAAACGGAAAACCCTTTCGTCTAGCGGGTTTTCCGTCTTGCGAGGCATTCGTCTTGCGGGGCACCACTGTACTTTACTTTGGAGAGGGTTATCTCTAGACTGATAGCCACATCAATCCACTGCAGGAAAAATAGTGCGTTGTGGCACATTTAAAGGCTAACAAATTTATTGTGGCTTATTTTAGGAGGGGGGGCTGAGTCCACTTTGTCAGACTATTTATACATACCTTTATGTCTGGCTTTTCTTCCCCAAAGGAGTCTGGGTAAAGGTAAAGGGACCCCTGACCATTAGGTCCAGTCATGACTGACTCTGGGGTTGTGCACTCATCTCGCTCTATAGGCCGAGGGAGCCAGCGTTTGTCCGCAGACAGCTTCCGGGTCATGTGGCCAGCATGACTAAGCCGCTTCTGGTGAACCAGAGCAGCACACGGAAACACAGTTTACCTTCCCGCTGGAGCGGTCCCTATTTATCTACTTGCACTTTGACGTGCCATCAAACTGCTAGGTTGGCAGGAGCAGGGACAGAGCAACGGGAGCTCACTCAGTTGCGGGGATTCGAACCGCCAACCTTCTGATCGGCAAATCCTAGGCTCTGTGGTTTAACCCACAGCGCCACCCGCGTCCCATTCAAAGGTGTCTACTTGATGCATAATGTTGACCACAGTGGGTAGTTAGACAAGCATGTAGGTAGTTCTATTTTTCTAGAAAATGGGGTGTCGGAAATCACCATGAACACCTCCCTTGTTCTCTTAGAATGGCAATGGTTCCCACCTGAGAGGTGCCAGAACAGCTCTTGCAAGTTCCGGCTGGGAGGAAAATAGCCCTGTAACAAATCTGAGTACAGTGGTACCTCGGTTTACAGACGCTTCAGGTTACAGACGCTTCAGGTTACAGACTCTGCTAACCCAGAAATAGTACCTCAGCTTAAGAACTTTGCTTCAGGACGAGAACAGAAATTGTGCGGTGGCAGCAGGAGGCCCCACTAGCTAAAGTGGTATCTCAGGTTAAGAACAGTTTCAGGTTAAGAACGGACCTCCAGAACGAATTAAGTTCTTAATCCTAGGTACCACAGTACAGAGAAAAAGGTAGTCTGGGGCAGTAGGGAGAACGTGTGTGTGTTTTACTAAAAAAACCCCACCCCATATAATACAGTAGGATATAGCTGAAAATGGGAGCACATGAATACAATAATCCATCCAAGTTGTTGTGATCCTTTCCCAACTCGCAGTCCTTGGGTGATAAATTAGCAGTGCAAGGAAAGTACAAACATCAGAAGTGGAACAGTTACTTTTTGTACTGAGAACACAATTCCCAAAGTCATTTTAGATTTATGGTACCCTGCGACTCTTGTTTTCACCGCAAGAACAGCCACATCCGTGGTATTTGTTTTCTTGAAGCCAAAGGACCATAGCTCAGTGGCAGAACATCTGGCCTGCCTGCAGATGGGCCCAGGTCCAGTCCTTGGGGTCTCCAGAATAAAGCTGGGAAACCTGCCAGTGAAAAGTAGGCAATACAGAGCTAGATGGATTTATGGTCTGACTCAGTGTAAGGCATCATCCTATGTTTGCGTGTCAAGGACAGCTGTTGTAGCCTGCATGTTCTTTGTGGGCTTTCACAGTTTCTTATAGCCCTTGAAAAAAAATCAATACCAAATGCTTCTGAATGAAACTTCAGCTGCTACTTTTGCCACCTGTGGCAACAGGCGTGGATGAAAGATGACACAGCACCAAAAAGGGTGAATTCTTACCATGTAAAAGGTGAATAATGCTGAGCTTGATTTCTGGCAAGGCTTATACTTCAAGAGCTGAAAAATAGATGGCAGAATTCTGCAATTGCATAGTTTTGTGTGCAACCACAATTTTAATCATAACAACCCTCCATTTGTTTTGTAAAGATTTCTGGATGCTGATTGTTAATTAAAGCAATACAAAAAAGTTTTAAAGTACAACTTAATAAATGAACGGGAAACATACTGACAGCGCCAAGAAGGGGGAAATTGTAGTTTAAAACTACTATAAAGGCTGTAATGACAGAGCCTAGGACTTGCAGATCAGAAGGTCGGCGGTTTGAATCCCCATGACGGGGTGAGCTCCTGTTGCTCGGTCCCTGCTCCTGCCAACCTAGCAGTTCGAAAACACATCAAAGTGCAAGTAGATAAATAGGTACCACTCTGGCGGGAAGGTAAACGGCGTTTCTGTGTGCTGCTCTGGTTTGCCAGAAGCAGATTAGTCATGCTGGCCACATGACCCGGAAGCTGTACCCTTGGCCAATAAAGAGATGAGCGCCGCAACTCGAGTCGGCCACGACTGGACCTAATGGTCCCTTTACCTTTACCTTAGAAAGACAAAAGAATAACAAAGCTCACCACACCTGCAGACCGTGCTGCTGTTCCACTTCTATCAAAAAAAGAAGTCAGATTTGCTGCAGCCTGAGAAAAGAAACAGCCATAGGGAATCGAGGACAACTGATGGATGCTGCTGCTGTGTATACACCCTATGAAAAGGAAAGAGCAATCCAAACTCTTTGCCCCAGGCTGGGTGCGTGTTGGTTGGAGCTATCCTTCCACCCAGCCCTGCTGGCCTCTGCTTGTGGAGGGATGCTAGTGTCCCTCCCATCAGCATTTCCGCATAAATGTGCAGGTAGAGGTGCTGCTGGCAAAAAGCCCTGATGTGGGGCATTCTTTGGGCCCAGTTGCTGCCTCAACTTCAGGCTGCTTGTTCCCCCCTTCTATGCCGACTTGGCAGGGCTGCACATGAGGTGGTGGCCTTGCAGCCAGGGTTGGGACTGAACCCCAAGTGAGGCAATTCCACACTAACCGCCTGGTGTGAAAGCCCCCTGGGGACTTCCAGGCTGTTGCTGTTTTGTGGGTAGAATTCAGTCTCATACCAGAAAATTCAGGTAACATAATTAGAGTGGATCTGATATTCTTGTGCCATTACCCTGCTTCTCCCCACCCACCCAGCTCCAAATATTTTTTTTTTTTGCAGTAAGGAACATGGTAGGAAAATATGCTAGGAAGTATGGGATAAGAGGGACGCGGGTGGCGCTGTGGTCTAAACCACTGAGCCTTGGGCTTGCCAATCAAAAGGTCGGTGGTTCGAATCCCCATGACGGGGCGAGGTCCCGTTGCCCGGTCCCAGCTCCTGCCAACCTAGCAGTTTGAAAGCACCCCAAAAAGTGCAAGATTAATAGGTAAGGTAAACGGCGTTTCTGTGCGCTGCTCTGGTGTCGGTGTTCTGTTACACCAGAAGCGGCTTGGTCATGCTGGCCACATGACCCGGAAAAACTGTCTGCGGACAAACGTCGGCTCCCTCGGCCAATAAAGCGAGATGAGCGCCGCAACCCCAGAGTCGTTTGTGACTGGACTTAACTGTCAGGGGTCCCATTTACTTTTACGGGATAAGAATTGCTTGACAAAGATCCACAGCACACAATTAAAGCACATGGCACCCTCCAAAGGATCTAGGGCACTGTGTGAAGGGGGCTGGGAATTGTGACTCCATGTGAGGGAAACTAGTCATGTGTTAGATGTGCTTTTAATGTACGGTGTGGCTCTCCATGCAGACAAATCAGAACTGATGCTCAATAAAAAGCCAATGTCCTCTAACCTCTCCACAAACTTTCTTCAAACAAATCAGGGTGATTGCTCAATGAGCAGAACATCTGGAAGCAACCCCTTGTGTCTATGCAACCATTTGAGGAAACGCATGTAAACTGGAAGAGAGTAGATTCCCCCCTCCTTTCAGACCGTATGCAATCTCACAACTTTTGTGGCTGTTTTGAAAAATTTATTTATGAAAATGTAAAGATTTTAGGACAACGGAGCTTTAAATATAAAGAAAACCAAAAAGGACAACATGAACAAATTCCTTCTAAGGTGATAAAATAAAACAGTCTTAACATTTAGCCTGTACAGAATTAAAAAGAAGATAACAACAACAGGAAAGTGGGGAAGGCACTGCTGGTTACAGCATAGATGTTGCATACATTAATGTACACAGCCTATAAAATACATGGAGCCAAGCTGCTCAGCCTGTTTTTTGGGTACTACAGAGGTGGGCGATGCACACATGGCTATTATGCACACTTCCTGTAACCCTCTCCTGACTTCCCCCCGATACTTTGTCACAAAAATTCATTTTGGAGCAACGTTAAGGCCTTATGATGCTTTATTATAATACCTGCAACTCAGAGACTGATTTAGGCTGCAAACCTAATGTCACTTACCTGGGAGCAAGAACCACTGAATTCAATAGGGCATACTTCCAAGTAGACATGGCTTATGCTGTGTTTCAGTGGGTGTGGCCAAAAGTTTGTATAGCTCTGGCAGAATCTCTGTGTTGCGTCGACTTAGCTTTTGCTTTCTTTTTGCTGCTAATAGAAATCAGCAGAGTCTTTGGTAGCAGGAGTGGGCAGAAAAAAAAAAGACTTGGAGGCAGATTCGGCTGTTGGCCTGAGAATTAAGCACTGCTGCCTTAACACATGACCTGCAGGTGGCATTTAGCTTGGTGGCTCACAAGCAGAGCGGGTCTGTTCTAGTGCCTCTCTTGGGAGCAAAATGCAAACTCTTGAGAATGAAAAACTGCCCAGATATTTACAGAAAATACCTGGCTTACATTCATTAACTCAGGACCGTTAATCTAAGAGGCATCCTATGCAAAAGCAAATGCATACTGAACTTTCTGCATTAAAAAAATGGGGGCAGGGGACAAAACCAAAAAGAACTAGACTGGAAAATAAGAGGATGATGAGGTAATCAGGGCTGCTTAGCACATTGCCTGTTGCCTCTTTTGCCATAAATGTGCCACAATGTTTTCTGCCGAGTCCTGCACATCTGATTCTTGGTAGCCAAATCAAGCCAGGCTCCCTCTCCTTCAAAGTTCCAACCAGAGTTTCCTGTTCTTTGAAGTTTATCTCAAGGAGAAACAACACCACACCATTTTTTCTGTGCTAGTATGTGATACAAACTCTTCTTTTATCTGCTACCAGTGAAAGACACATCATGTTGAGTAGGCTCCCACCTTATGTGGAATTTCAACACTACTGCTGAATGTTTACATTTTAATCATGCGGGTAGTTTACATCAGGTCCTTTTGCCACATGGGCTCTGTATTCTGCTGCTGGCACCTACAAGACTGTGAGCTCCTAATTCTATTCTAATCACCAGCCCTTGGATAGGGGGTGATTATTATTACTTTGGTCTGCTTCTGTAAATGAAAGTGGTTGGGTGCTGCAAGAATCTAACGAGGCAGCTAAAAATACGTTCCACTGCAGATGAACACAGCCGTCTGGCTGCATGAAAGGGTCCTCATTACTGCACATCAAATGTCAAAAAAACTTCAGAAATCCAGTTGCATATCTAAAAAGAGAAAATGTACCGGTAAGGCATAGTTTGAAGGTATTATCTAACATGTTCTGTAACAAATTAATAACAATAGCTATTATTCTGCCCTTCACCCTAAGGCTCCAGGGCAGGTTGAAAAATTAGAATACAATATCAAAAATGGTTTAAAACAACTTACAAAAGGCTTGTCCCAATTCATTTATTTTTAAAGTTACAGAACTCTTAGGTGGCTGCAGGAAAAAGGCACCAAGCAGAAATTGAGGAACATATCATTGATCACCCACCTCCACTCCCAAAAGTGGAGTATCTGCAGAATGAACATCCAAACCAGGGTGTCTTTGCACAACGATTCCAGAGTTTTGAATATTGTTGGATTTTTTGCAGCAAGTTTAAAAAAGAACAGGGATGATGAGGGACATAAACCAGAAAACTGACACAATGATGGCATTGTTTCTGGGGCTTTTTTGAGGATCAGTATAAATAGCATGGGCAACGCTATAAAAGGCATGTCTGGAGGGGTCCTCAAACAAAGCAAACAAAACAGCATTGTTACACAAAATAGCCCAGTGTCGAGTTCCCTGCTCTGCAGCATGTAATACAATGTTCCCTGCCATCTGGACATCACTATGCTGTGTTTCCCTGACCTCCACTAGAAGCAGCCAGTTACGTAAAACAGAGAAGCCCCGTGTAATGACACCAGCGGAAGTTGTACCACGTCAGGGGGGTGGTAATGAGAAAGCTAGGGCAGCTGCTTTGGGTGGCAGAGCCACATTTCTTACCTGTGGTTCTGCCTTCAGCCTAAGGCTGTGTACATGCCATACGTTTAAAGCACCCTCCCAAAGAATCCTGGGGTCTGTAGTTTGTTAAGGGTGCTGGGAATTGTAGCTCTGTGAGGGGCAATCTACAGGTCCCAGGATTCCTGGTGTGTGTGTGTGTGTGTGTGTGTGTGTGTGTGTATGTATGCGCTTTAAATGTATGGTGTGTATGTAGCCTCTTTCACAGAGCAAAATAAGCCAAACTCCAAAATCAAGACATACAAGAATAACCAAAGCAAATTTCAAAGTGAAGGATGCAATAGAGCTGCAGTACATATCTTCTGTAAAGCAAGGGTGTTCTGTAAAAAAAACACCTTCTAAAGCGTGTTTATAGGTCCCCAGTAAAACTGACTGCATACAGGGGTAACAAACTGGTGTTTGCCTGTTGGTTTGAAAATGTCTGTACAGGGGAGAGAGAAAGGATTAAAATGTAGACCAATAGGAAAGCCGGAGGCGGAGCCTACCTGTTTATAAAAGGGCTTAGCCCAAGGTTTGGGAGTGGGTTATTGGTTGGTTTTAGTGGGTTGGTTGGTTGGGAAAGGCAGTTGGAAAAGCAGTTGGCAGGCAGTTGGAAATAGAGAGACAGTTAGTGCAGTGGGTTCTTGTGTGAGGGGAGGTAGAAGAGATAAAGACAGGATAAAATAAGACTAAGAAGGTAAAGAGTAACAACATTTGGAATGCAGCTAAAATTTGTTTGTGTCTGCAATAAACTACACTCTTCTTTGTTAACTTGAGAACCTGACTGAGACTAAGTGATTTACCGGGGAGGACCTGGTTGGTGGCAGCGGATTAGTGGTGTATGGGTCAATAGTCTGTGAGATGACTGGGGGCTCCGTACAAACGCCACACAAACGTTTGGGGAAAGCACAGGGAGCACAAGCCAACCCTCTCATTCTGACTCAAGCCCTTACCGCTAGCCTTGAGACGTTCCTTTTTGTGAGATTTTTCCATTTCCTCCAGGAACTGCTCAAAGACTTTCACATATGGAGCCAGGCTGGTTTTCTTGTAATCTATAAACAGAAGACATACAACAAAGTATGTTGTCAGGCTGTTCACTTTCCATGCTAAACTTAATAATCTGAACTCACAGCCTCCAGATATTATTGGATTCCGACTCCCCTGAGCTCTAGGTTGGCACTGCCAATGCTCAGGGATTATAGGAGATGTAGTCCAACAACCGCAGGAGAGTCTCAGGTTCCCTATGCCCTTTTACAACAGAAAAACAGTAGGAGTATGTGGCTGCATACACAGCATCCATCTAAAGCACACACTGAATAATCCTGCAAACTGTTGTTTACCCTGCAGCGAGCTAGAATTCCTAGCACCCTTAACAAAGTACAGTCCCCAGAATCGGTTGTTGAGGTGCATGTGTGTGCTTTAAATGTGTGGTGTATACACAGCCTGTATCTCATCTGTCCCTGAAGGTAAGGGACACAGATCAGCTTTCTCCACTAGATGGAGATGTTTTAATACACTTCCCCCAGCCTGCTTTGAGCTAGCTGGGAGAAAAGAAGACTCAAAGCAGCAGAGCTCTGGAAGGTACAGCAAGGCAGGGTGAGATTTGTTCCCATTTTCCCCTGCTACCCTCCATGTGCTCTGATCAGCGTTAAAAAGTCAGTCTCCTAATCTCACATTCTAGCCCAGGGATCGTCAAGCTTTTTGGGGGGCGGGCCAGTTCACCGCATCACAAACCTCCTGGTGGGCCGGAGTGCGTGTGCGCACGTGCATATGGCAGAGGGGGCTTCTCTCTCCCCCAGCCCTTCCCGGCCCGTCCCCCTGCCTACCTAGGGTGCTGCCAAGAGGCAGAGGCTAATGGTGGCAACGGAGGAGGAATGAGCAGCCTGAAAGGGCTGCTTTTGGGCTGCTTGTTCCTTCTCTGCCGCCGCCAGCAGCGGCACTGGCGGCGGCAGCATAAGCTGCAGTGGCAAACGGCTTGCTCCAACAAGGGGCTGCTGAAAATGCACTCAGCCAGCCCAGCCCAGCGCCCTTCCTCCTCTTGGCCATGTGTAGCCGCCGCTCGCCCATTGGCTGGGGCCTCAAAACTTTGCAGGCGATTGGCCAGCGATTTGCTGCACAAGAAGGAGGGATAGAGGAGGGAGGAGGTTCTGCCATGGTGAGGAAGAGGGGAGAAAATGTTGGCAAAAAAAATGGCGCCCGTGCCGCAAAAAAACCCACCACGGAATCCAACCGCCAATCCATGGAACTGCCCATGGGCCGGTTCCAGGAGGCTCATGGGCTGGATCCGGCTTATGGGCCTTAGGTTGCCGACCTCTGTTCTAGCCCATGGGTCAGCAAACTAAGGGCCGTGGGCCGGATAAGGCCCAATTGCCTCTGGATCCAGCCCACGGACGGTCCGGGAATCACTGCATGGATCGCCAGAACGCGTGTTCTTTCCCTCGCCCTCACACAGTGGCAATGGTGGCGCCTCCTCCCTCCCTCCTCCCAGCTTCTCCCCACCCGACCTAGAGGAGGAAGGGGGTTGGGCTTTGTTGGTGCCAGCAGCGCTCGAGTGTACATGTAACTCTGAGGCCAAGCCCGTTACAGGCCTATGTAAGAACTCAATGACTGCTGTGTATCTTTTGTTCCTTTTGGATAACATACATTACATTTGTGTAACAGGACTCTCCCCGTTCCCAAATTTACTCTGAAGCACTGGGGGAACCCCTAAAACAGATTTAGGGGTTGTGCGGGGGGAGGAGAGGGGGAGAACATTCCACATGCAAGCAGAAATCTTTGTGCTTACGGAATGATTGCCATGGCGCTACACTGGATTCCACTCATGAATTATTATTCCTTTATGGGTGAGATTCAACCAATGGGTCCCGTCAGTTTGTGTGATGGGCACCCCCCCATCTCCTCCTTGGTGGCTCAGTGGGTGGTGGTTTGGCAGAACTCTGGAACATTGCATGGGGGGAGAGAGAGATTCTCCTTTCTGGCAAGTGAAAATATTGGATCCTGCCTTTTCTCCCAAGTCCAAGGCAGCAAACAGAAAAATGTTAAGCCAACACGGTATAAAAAAACATACAGTACAGTTGTACCTCGGAAGTCGAACGGAATCAGTTTGACTTCCAAAACATTTGGAAACCAAGGCGCGGCTTCCGATTGGCTGCAAGAAGCTCCTGCAGCCAATCGGAAGCCGTGCTGAACGTTCGGGATCCAAAGATTGTTCACAAACTGGAATACTCACTTCCGGGTTTGTGGCGTTTGGGAGCCAAAACGTTTGACCTGCAAGGCGTTCGTCAACCAGGGTACGACTGTACTTAAAACATTTTTTAAAACAATTAAAAAAACCATACTAAAACTTCTAAAATTGCCATATTGTTGTGATTATACAGTGGAACCTCGTTTTTTGAGCGTCTTGGAAGCCAAATGTTTCAGAACCCGAACGCTGAAAACCCAGAAGTACCGTATTTTTCTGTGTATAAGACTAGGTCCCCCCCCCAATAATGTCAAAAAATAGGGGGCGTTTTATACACGGATAGTGCCGAGGATGGACTGGCGATTGGTTGTTGCCCAAAAATAGGGGGCATCTTATACATGGGGGGTCTTATAGATGGAAAAATACGGTAATTGCTTCTGTTTTCAAACACACCTTGGAAGTCGAACGGCTTCTGCGGCATGTTTTTCCATTTTCAACACTGAAATTGCTGACAGCCCTTTGCGCCTCGGTTGTCGAACGTTTCAGAAGTCTTCCGGAACAGATTATGTTCGACAACCAAGGTTCCATTGTATAAGTTTTACTACTGCCTTATTACAATCTCATGTTTGAAAGTGGGTGAAGATTTCACAAGGTCTTATGCTGCCTGCTACGAACCTCTGCTTCGCCGAGAGTTTTCGGGCTCCCCGTCATTTTCTTTTGCATCCCCCTCGTCGTTGCTAACTGTGTCCAGCTCATGACAGAGGCGGCTAAAACAAAACAGAAACATCAGGAATCCCACGAAACCTGGTAAAAAGGTAAAGGTAAAAGGACTCCTGACGGTTAAGTCCAGTCTCGAATGACTCTGGGGTTGCGGCGCTCATCTCGCTTTACTGGCAGAGGGAGCCGACGTTTGTCCGCAGACAGTTTTTCCAGGTCATGTGGCCAGCATGACTAAGCCGCTTCTGGCGAAACCAGAGCAGTGCACGGAAATGCCATTTACCTTCCCCACTAAATTATTAATGGCTAACAACATTAGCTTCGTATACCGGATACACCAGTTACAATAATAATAGTAACAATAATAACTACTACTACTAATAATAGTGGTAGTAGTTTCTGGGGCAGCAGAACACAGGTGTTGAAAACTAAACAGAGCAGGCACCAGGCAAGCCTCCCTAGGGAGAGCCCAAGGATCCCACCTGTCTCAGCTCCCAACCAGGCTGATGTGGGGTGATGTGTGCTGATATAATGTTTTTTGTGTGTGTGTTTTAAAAAAATTAAAGCTTTGGATTTGGAAGTTACATTTTTGCAATGAAGAATGCTATGATTCAGAAGCTCATGCTAAGCTTTGATCTTTCATTTTAGGATTTTCAAAATATTGCTGCGATTCCCTTAAAGGTAAAGGTAAAGGGACCCCTGATCATTAGGTCCAGTCGTGGACGACTCTGGGGTTGCGGCACTCATCTCGCTTTACTGGCCGCGGGAGCCGGCGTACAGCTTCCTGGTCATGTGGCCAGCATGACTAAGCCACTTCTGGAGAACCAGAGCAGCGCACGGAAACGCAGTTTACCTTCCCGCCGGAGCGGTACCTATTTATCTACTTGCACTGAACTGCTAGGTTGGCAGGAGCTGGTACTGAACAAGGGGAGCTCATCCCCTTGTGGGGATTTGAACTGCCGACCTTCTGATCAGCAAGCTCTAGGCTCTGTGGTTTAACCCACAGCGCCACGCTTCTAGGAACATTCTCTCCTCAAATCCACCTTCTGTATTACAGGGTGGAACTCTTTCAACAGCTTGGTCATATGTAGTTTAACACTCCTAAACCCACTGATGCATACGATCAGGCAACGTCGGGGAGTCCTGTATGTTGCTGGACTACATCTCCCATCATCCCTGACTATCAGCTGGCTGGGGTTGATGGGAGTTGGAGTCCAACAACACCTGGTAGTCCACAGGTTCCCCAGCTCTGGGCTATGACAAAACTGAGGCAGAATAAAGACGTAACCTGCCCTGGGACCCTATTAATAAATCTCATCTATTACATTTTTTGGAAAGTTGTTTGTTCACTATGCATTTTGACACTTCATACAATATTGTAAACAAATCCTGCATGATGGTTCTAGAGATCAAGCAGCAAGAGCACGCTTTCCTTTATGTTTGGACATAACTGGCTACCATTTTGAAGCAAGGACTGAACCTTTCAAAACTTCAGTGATTGCAACTACTGATTTCAAAACTCCACCATTCACTGTATTTTTCGCTCTATAAGACGCACCAGACCATAAGACGCACCTAGTTTTTGGAGGAGGAAAACAAGAAAAAAAATATTCTGAATCTCAGAAGCCAGAACAGCAAGAGGGATCGCTGCGCAGCGAAAGCAGCAATCCCTCTTGCTGTTCTGGCTTCTGGGATAGCTGTGCAGCCTGCATTCGCTCCATAAGACGCACACACATTTCCCCTTACTTTTTAGGAGGGAAAAAGTGAGTCTTATAGAGCAAAAAATACGGTATTTATTTTTTGTTTCTTAGAATTCCCAACCAATGAAGGGCACGAGGCTGCTGGTCAACAGTAAATAAACAATGGAGAATGTTGTGTTGTGGCTGCAGAGATATGAGGGTTAAAGGAAATTAAGAGTAAGAAACAGGAGTTTCCTCCCCTCGGTTAAAAAAAGCTATGCCCCTGTTAATGCAAGATGCTGTAATCCTCCTAGTCCAGTGACCTAAGGGTCTAACCACATGAAGAGCAGCTGATATGGTGTCTTCCAGATGCTGTTAGACTACAATGGCCATCATTCCTAACTGTTGGCCAAGATGGCTGGGGCTGATGGGAGTTGTAGTCCAACAGCATGTGGACGCCACCACAGTGGCTATCCCCAGACTACGCAGTGAAGCTAACACAGACTGCTGCTGCAGCTCTGCGCTCCAAGAGACAAATGGCAGCATGTGTTGCGCTTCAACTTTCCATGTGCCCAAAGCTGGATCATTCATACCTTATAGTGGGAACAGCAAATGGATCAAATTCATCCAGTTTCTTCAGGTCGATTGGTACTGAGATACGTCCTAAAGGAGGGCAATGAGCAAGTTAGAAAGGGACTTTCTGGGTGCCGGCATAGATATAACTCTACATGCTTTGGGGTGGGGTGGGGGACAACAATACTGCTACTACCACTGACCAAGATGGTTTTATCTCACCCATCCTCCACAGCTCAGAGCGCTCTAGGTGGCCCTCTTTCATTTCACCCTCTCAACAACCTTGCAAGGTAGTTTAGGCAGAGAGACAAGCGAGTGGCCCAAGGACACTGGCAAGAGTGAAGCTGGCACACCTAAGGGGATATGTGAACTCCCAGATCCAAGACCAAAGGCCCTATCCAACACCCTATTAGATCCCCATCTTGACTAAAGGAAGGTATGTTGAAGCATCAACCAACCTGTTTTGGGGTGAACGCTGAAGGGGCTCTTCAACAAGTGGTTGATTCCTTTGCTGACATTCATATCTAGCCGTGGAAAACAGTACTGAAGCATGATCTCAGACTCAGTGTGCGCCATTTTCTTGAGTGTGCCCTGGGAAGGAAGAGGAAGATTGGAAAGGGTTCAAACTTTGGAGGATCTTTTGTAGGCATTTGTATTTCACCCTTCTATTAGAAGGAGGCTACGCTGTGGGTTAAACCACAGAGCCTACGACTTGCCGATCAGAAGGTCGGCGGGTCGAATCCCCGTGACGGGGTCAGCTCCTGTTGCTCGGTCTCAGCTCCTGCCCACCTACCAGTTTGAAAGCATGTCAAAGTGCAAGTAGATAAATAGGTACCGCTCCGGCGGGAAGGTAAATGGCGTTTCCGTGCGCTGCTCTGGTTCCCCAGAAGCGGCTTAGTCCTGCTGGCCACATGACCCAGAAGCTGTACGCCGGCTCCCTCGGCCAATAAAGCGAGATGAGCGCCACAACCCCAGAGTCGTCCGCAACTGGACCTAACGGTCAGGGGTCCCTTTACCTTACAGTCGCAGAGGAAGGGTTGTGTCACCACAGCACCTAAGAGCACACTCTGCGACTGCAACGCTGAACAGTTTTATATTGGGGGCGGGGGTGGAATCAGCAGAAGGGGTTAGTGAGAAGTGCTTTTATCAAGACAGGGGGTTCAAACACTGCCCATCCCAACAATCCCATTGCTTTAGAATTCAGCTGTCAATCCCACTTCTTGGTCAAGAAATAAAAGCTCGCCAGCTTCTCATGTTGCTTTGTTCCCCATCACCCAGTGCTGGCAGCCTAGGGACTCACCCAAAAGATTCTTATGATGCAAATGTCCCCTCCCCCGCTACCTCAAATACTTACACCGTGTCTTTCCAATGCTTTTGTCAAAAGCTCCCAGCGCTTGACTGAATCGTGCTTTTTAGTGAATTCCTGAAGCAGTTCTTTTCGAACTGGTGGCCAAATTGTTAAGGAGTTTCAAATCTGGTCCAAGGCCTGCTGGTGCCTGGGGCAGAGGAGCCCTGCTGGCTCAGACCAAAGGCCCATCGAGTTCAGCATCCTGTTTGCATAATGGCCAACCGGACGTCTATGGAAAGCCAGCAAGCAGGATACGAACACAGCAGGATTCTACCATTCAACTTCCCCAGCAGCTGGTATTTAGAGGGATGCTGTTTCTGCATCAGTAAAATTTGGGGCATCACATGGCAGGACAGCGTCTCAAGCAAAGATATGCTCTCCCAATCTCACATTCCCAGCATGCCTGTACAGTCATACCTTGGGTTACGAATGCTGCGGGTTGAGGAACGCGCCAAACCTGGAAGTACTGGAACGGGTTACTTCCGGGTGTCGGCGCTCACACAGAAGCGCAAAATAACATCACACACATGCGGAGAAGCGCCGAATCGCATCACGCGTGTGTGCAGACGTGGTGCTTCAGGCTGCGGGTTGCAAACGTGCCTCCCGCACGGATCACGTTCGCAACCCGAGGTATGACTGTACTCCTGTCTCAGAGACGTTTACACTGGCTCAGTCGTGTACACAGAATGGGAGATAGCAGGAACCCCAAGGATGTGCACTACGGGGAGCTGGCTTCAGGCACCAGGCCTGATGGCAGACCAACTCTGTGCTACAAAGATTGATGCAAACATGACCTGAATGCTGGCAACATTACCCCTGCCATATGGCACTCTCTTGCAGATTATTGCAATGCTTAGAGACAGACAGACAGACAGGTTGTGCATCCCTAGCAGTGACCACAGGAGGAATGCCTGCTGGGAGGAGCGCAGAGAGAAGGAACGCCCTGGTGCATCTGCAGCAGTACAACCAGATGCCTTCATCTGCCCCAGTTGCAACAAAACATGTCTCTCCCATATCGGTCTCCAATGCCATAGCAGGCGCTGTAACCTTCCAAGTTTGAATTCACCCCCAAAGGCAAACAGATGCCAACAACAACAGCCGCCGCCTCCGATACGGGATAAATCTGCTTCCTGACCCCTGCATCAACACAAGCGCCAGTAAACGGACCCAGGGGTATCTGGATTTTTGCCCCCACGGCCTTGACTATTTATTGCAGGGAAGGGGAAGCTGTGGCCCTCCCAAAGTTAATGGAATATAACCCCTATCATCCTTGGCCGTATACCATGTTGGATGGGAGTTGCAGCCCAACCTCTGGAGGGCCACAGGTTCCTCATCCCTGATTTTATGGGCATGTCACTAGTAAGATGTGCAGCACTCTCTGGCACGCCCCATAGGCTCTTGAAAGGATATTCTCTGGGACCAAAGCCAACACTTTTTCATAGCTCTCTTTACTTCCAAGAATGTCCTGCTCGACAAGTGCATACTCTCTGAAGTAACGCTTCACCACATTTAGAGATTCGCTGCAACAGAAGAGGGGAAAACATCAGAGAGTCAGAGGGGTAACTTTGGTGGAGGCAGGTGAACGGGCACAAGGAAGGTTACCGAGGGAATGGGCTGAAAGCACCGTAAGTGAACTATGTCGTCAATCATCAGGAAGCACAACATTCCTGCTATGTATATAAAGCTCAATAATCCTCCTATGTATATAAAGTTAGGGACGCGGGTGGCGCTGTGGGTTAAACCACAGAGCCTAGGACTTGCCGATCAGAAGGTCGGCGGTTCAAATCCCCACGATGGGGTGAGCTCCTGTTGCTTGGTCCCTTCTCCTGCCAATCTAGCAGTTCGAAAGCACGTCCAAGTGCAAGTAGATAAATAGGTACTGCTCCAGCGGGAAGGTAAACGGCGTTTGTGTGCTGCTCTGCTTCACCAGAAGCGGCTTAGTCATGCTGGCCACATGACCCGGAAGCTGTACGCCGGCTCCCTCAGCCAATAAAGCGAGATGAGTCGGCCACAACTGGACCTAATGGTCAGGGGTCCCTTTACCTTTATACAAAGTTAGTTATATTTTATAAGGTGCTTTGGAGTAGGTGGGTGGCCTTTGCCCTGAATAGTGCAATATGTTTACACACTCACACGCCCACCCACACCTAGCATTTTCGGAAAGAGGGAATTTCAGCAGGAACAGCCTGCAACACAGAGGTAATAAAAGCCTCAATGGCATTTCATTTGCTCTTGCCTAGGTCTGGGGAAATCTGTACAGTAGTACCTCCGGCTGTGCACGGGATCCGTTCCGAAGCTCTGGTCGGATCCCAAGGAATTCACAACCAGAGGTGCCTGTTCTGCGCATGCGCGCAGCAGGGTAGAGGGCTTTTGCGCATGTGGCGAAACCCGGAAAAATACTTCCGGGTTTGCCGTGTTCGCATCCTGAAGGATACGCAACCAGAGGTGTGCGTATCCAGAGGTACCACTGTATTGTTGAAGAAGGGAGCTGCAACATAGTATGGCATCATTTTGTAGCAACCCAACTGTGGTAGAAAGCACAAATATTGCTAGAAGGGAAACGAGCAGGTCTTTGTTCTGTGCAGATTGCATAAATAGGATGCATGCCAATGGGCATGCATTCCAGCACTTGCCTGCAGGAGGGGAAATGTAGATACGGTCTCGGAATTAGTAATGTATGTCTCTGTGCAGATTAGGATAATGTGAGTTGAGTGGTTAATGTGCATAAAAGCTGGCCATTGTGCACATCCACATGGGGAATGTGCACATAATCTGTCCATGAAAAGGGAATTCTGCACATTCGCCAGTCATTATGCATAGTCTTCAGTGGGCCTTTCCTCCACTTCACATCTGAATATTTACCCTTGGAGCTGCATTAACCACAGCCTACCCTAGTTTTGGGTCTAAACCACAGAGCTTAGGGCTTGCCGATCAGAAGGTCGGTGGTTTGAATCTCCGCGATGGGGTGAGCTCCCGTTGCTTGGTGCCTTCTCTTGCCAACCTAGCAGTTTGAAAACACGTCAAAGTGCAAGTAGATAAATAGGTAGCGCTCTGGCGGAAAGGTAAATGGCGTTTCCGTATGCTGCTCTGGTTCGCCAGAAGCAGCTTAGTCATGCTGGCCACATGACCCGGAGGCTGTCTGCAGACAAACGCCGGCTCCTTCGGCCAGTAAAGCGAGATGAGCGCCGTAACCCCAGAGTCGTTCACAACTGGACTTAACGGTCAGGGGTCCCTTTACCTTTTACCCTAGTTTTAGGGTTTTAGGAGCAGCACAAAAGCTCTCCCATGGCTCAAGGCTCTTATTACAGTCATAAAGGTAAAGGTAAAGGTACCCCTGCCCCTACGGGCCAGTCGTGTCCGACTCTAGGGTTGTGCGCTCATCTCGCTCAAGAGGCCGTGAGCCAGCGCTGTCCGAAGACACTTCTGGGTCACGTGGCCAACGTGACGAAGCTGCTCTGGCGAGCCAGCACCAACGCAGCACACGGAAACGCCATTTACCTTCCCGCTATAAAGCGGTCCCTATTTATCTACTTGCACTTAGGGGTGCTTTCAAACTGCTAGGTGGGCAGGAGCTGGGACCAAACGACGGGAGCTTACCCCGCCGTGGGGATTCGAACCACCGACCATACGATCAGCAAGTCCTAGGCACTGAGGTTTTACCCACAGCGCCACCCGCGTCCCGTGACAGTCATACCTCGGGTTAAAAGTTGCTTCGGATTAAATCTTTTCAGGTTGCGTCCTGCATCAACCCGGAAGTAACGGAACAGGTTACTTCCAGGTTTCGCCACTCGCCCAGACGCTCAAAATGACGTCACACATATGCGCAGAAGTGCAACCCGCGTAGACGCGGGTTGCGTTCTGCTCAGGATGCAAACAGGGCTCCGGAACGGATCCCGTTTGCATCCAGAGGTACCACTGTATATAGAAGGCTCTTCTAAGCCCCCTGGTTCATGGTTAAGTGAAACAGAATGCCACTGAAGAAAGCTGCCCACGAGCCTCATCAATAGTTGCACCTATAGCTTCTACTCACCCTTCTCCATCAGAAAGCCACAATGCAGTCTATACCTCCTTATTCCATAGTAATTCTCAGCACAGCTTAAAACAACACTTAAAGCTTAACATTTGCTGAATAACCAATTCAGGACGTGCACTCTCTATGCTAGAAATGCCATAAATTCCCTGGCTGTTGCCTGAACTGACCTGATGAAAGGGTGGATGTTGTCCGGAAGAGTCACCTTCTTGATGGTCTCTTCGCCACCCTGTGAAATATGGAGCTTTAGTTTAGGTTGGTTTCTTTAAGCATCTTTCAGTCTATCTAATGTTTATTGGATGGATTTCCCCCCTAAATTGATTTTTGATTTTATTGTTATTTACGCTTTATACCGTATTTTATGCTGGTTTTTTTGTAGCACCAATTAAGTGTTTTAAATTTGTTGTTAGCCACCCTGAGCCCCATTTCCTGAACCGGGAAGGGCGGGGTATAAATAAAAATTTATTATTTATTATTATTTCAAAGTCAGTTTACAAACAAGAAAACATTTAAATACAAAATAAAGAAAACTAGAAGCTCAAAACAGCCAGCGAGATTAAAAATGAATCGAAAATGCACCAGGAAATAAAAAATATGCAAAATGAGCTCTGGTTAATACCCCTCCACTGAGAGCTAGAAATGTCATGCTTTATGGGCTTCCCAGAAGCATCTAGTTGGCCAATGTGAGAACAGTGCTCAAGTAGATGAGCCTGTGGCCTGATCCAGCAGGATTCTCTGTTAATACACTTAAAGATTGCTTCTTTGCATGACACTGTGCTCTGCCTTTCCTTGTCCTAGGGGCATGTCCCAACGTGACAGGCCAGTGTTGTAGCTTAACTGGGCCACTGATTCTCTGCCCTCTAGTGTCACATAATCATAGAATTGCAGAGTTGGAAGGCACCTGAGGGTCACCTAGTCCAACCCCCTGCAATGCAGAAATTAAGTTCCACCTCCTTCTGTCCTAAAGATACCACACCTTCACAAGGGAGAGATATTCCACTGCTGCAGAGCGGAGACTTGAAGACCACTTCCTGACCGATTCGTCACACACCCAGCAATGAACGCCTCTCCGTCCTGAGTACACCCAGAGGCGGTGCTTGATGCCAAAGTCCTCTGGAGGTGCAGAAGAGCAGAGCAGAAAGCACAAAAGGCAATAGCTTTGACGAGAATGCATGAATAAAACCTTAGTGCTGCAAGTGCTCATAGCGTTCTGCATGCATCGTCCCAGCAATTCTTACAACAGTCCCGTAAGGTAAGCTGCCATTATTATTCTATTGCAGATTGGCTGTGTGTGTGTGTGTGTCAGCAAGGAAAGACCGGGAGTCAGAAAGAAACAGACCTTGATCACGGCTAAAGTGAGATTTGAGCAAGCATATCCTGAACTGCAATACCACGTGTGTTAGTATTTATTCCAGTAGATACTAACTCCCACACACATACACAAATGCAGCAATATAAAGTAACAGAAGCATTCCATCGGTACAAAGCATATGAGGAGGGTAAAAGGGAGGAGCCAATTCAGCAGTTTACCAATCTGCAGATATTGCTGCCGAAAGTTAGGCTGCACGGACTGACAGTAGTAACAGAGGCAAAAGCATGAAAAGGAAAGTCAGGGAGTCCCCATAGAATCATAGAGTTGGAAGAGACCACAAGGGCCATCGAGTCCAACCCCCTGCCAAGCAGGAAACACCATCAGAGCACTCCTGACATATGGTTGTCAAGCCTCTGCTTAAAGACCTCCAAAGGAGGAGACTCCACCACACTCCTTGGCAGCTCTTACTGACAGCTCTTACTGACAGCTCTTACTGTCAGGAAGTTCTTCCTAATGTTTAGGTGGAATCCCATAATTGGGAGGCTTACAGAAGTTGGTTGTAATCATATCCACTAAAAATTTAAGGAAAATTGACCTTTCCTCACTGCAGAATGATACATTAGGTACCCTCTTAAAGACACCATTCCAGCCCTATGACTTGAACATGGAAAAGGAACAGTAGCTTCCATGTCCGTCCTTATCTGTCTGCTTGGATAGAAAAAGCTGTATCAGCACAGCAATGTGCAACCTCCTGTCTTTTCAGACCCAGAATTCACCTGCAGGATGAGACCCAGTTTTAAAGTTTTTAATGCATAAGCTTAATTTGCCCCCCATCTGTTTAGGTTGGAAGTTCCTTGGGACAAGCACCCACCTTCTTTTGCTTACGCTTCCCAAAAGGCTCCACAAAAGCCAATGGTACTGGATAAATCATATACCGTATTTTTTGTTCTATAAGACTCACTTTTTCCCTCCTAAAAAGTAAGGGGAAATGTGTGTGCGTCTTATGGAGCGAATGCAGGCTGCACAGCTATCACAGAAGCCAGAACAGCAAGAGGGATTGCTGCTTTCACTGCACAGTGTTCCCTCTTGCTGTTCTGGCTTCTGAGATTCAGAATATTTTTTTTCTTGTTTTCCTCCTCCAAAAACTAGGTGCATCTTGTGGTCTGGTGCGTCTTATAGAGCGAAAAATACGGGTATATTTGAAAATATGGTACACACTGCTAGAAGGCGCTTAAACTCTGACTTGGGCGAGTCTCCGAAAGAAAGGTGGACAAAATGGTCAGTCTGGCAACAGTTGCTACATGGCCATTGGCCACTTACCCACGAGTGCCCGATCTATGATGCGGATGGCAATGGTCATTAGAGTCCAGCACTTGGGGCAGATCTCTGCAGAGCTGAAAGAAGAGTTGTTAAAAAACGAAGCCCTGATTAGTTTAAAAATATAACCCACAACTCTCACTCTTCAAGGAAGCTTTCAAAACCATATAAAAACCACAACAACCCGGTTCAGACAATTGTTCTAGACTCTGTGGTTTATGGAACAGTGGAAAAATATTGGGGCTGAGCACTCATCCTCTCCTCCGTTGGCTTAAGTGCCAAGGCCCTGGTCCGCATTAATCCAGAGTTTTATGTTATGTCCAAACTAGGAAGCTCTAAGTTAACGTCCCTTAACAAACAAGGAAGTAAGTCAGGGTGTGATCTGCTAAATGCTCTTCAGCCTAAAGTGGGCAGTGTATTTTTTAACACACACACCCCAAAGGCACTGAACAAGCAAATCCAAGAGGCTATTCTATGGCTTCAGGATTCAGTGGGAAGAGGCTCATATGTAATGAGTGGCAATTTCACTGAACATGAGAAGTCATTTGACACTGCATCCACACGGTGGACACCCCATGTTCTTGCGCACATTCTGAAGGTTCAGAATGGAAAAAGGATTTTCTTCTAATGAAATAATTTATACCATTTCGTGTTACATCCAACACTTAGATCTAGCATCCTTATTATTAATAGGCGTGTGGGACGAAACAAAGGGTGGCTTCCATTATCCTGCCCACCTGCAATCTTCTTGCATGCTGTGTCAGAGGACAGAGCACTTGGTTGAGTCAGGCTCAGCATGGCAAACTCTATATTCTTCCAAGCTCCCAGAAGAGTGCTATTCAGAGTTCTTCAGGCTACAGGCCTACCCAGACTTACCTGGCAGCAAGTCCCGTTGAACACAGTGGGACTTACTTCCAGGAAAACATGCACAGGATTGCACTGTCAAGGCTCCTCCAGATGACCTAGCAAGTCATTTGTTCAACCCCCCACTTCTGAATGAATTTCCCTGTCACTTTCCAAACTGCAAAAAGCCTGGTTCTTTTTTAAAGTGGATTTGTTGTGCCAGGGTGACAGGGCCCTTTAACCCTCTTCTACTGTACAGACCTAAAGTTCTGGTATCCACTTGTGTGGGAATCCTTCCCACAAAATACTGAGAGTCTAGACTCCCATTTAATGTGCTGTCAAGGTTCAGGGAATGCCCACACATGGAAATAAAGTACAAAAACAGACAATAAGCTTAAAGTAAAAACGAAACAAGTTTCTAGTCCATAACTGTTACAACAACGCTGGAAGCATAGAAGTGGGCAGCATCTTGTGAAGTTCAGAGCAGAACTCAAGAGTGATCAGTCAATGGAGAGCGAATGCTCTACCCACCTTCCCAAACATATACAATTATCATCCTCACCAACAAACTGGCCTCTTGTCCCCAAATCACTATCCCAGAAGGGTAACAGAAATACCTGCAGCATCTTCTAACATCATCGTAATCTGTCATGTCTATATCAAATACGAGCTCTTTCTCCTGGGCCTGGAAGGCACCTAGGTGTACCATGTTGTGCTGGATGGGCTGCAGGGAAGCGAAAGGGAACAGAAATAACTTAGAAATTATAGCTGCTTTCAGTAATTTAGAATTTTATTTCCCTGCCTTGTGACAGTTAACTAATTGGTCCCCCCCCCAACGGTCCCAGTAAAATTATGTTTGATCATATTTGTACGGTCAAAGGGCCAAGTCTTTTTTAAAGCCAGTTAAATGGTGGACTTTAGGGCAGGCAGTTTTGAAAACTTTTTCTAAATCATTTTTATAACAGGACTGAGGAACCTGTGACCCTCCAACTGTTGCTGGACTCCAGCTCCCATCAGCCGCAGCCAGCAATGCTACTGGCCAGGGTGATGATAGGAGTTGTAGTGCAGCAACACCTGGAGATTCCCCAGCCTGGCTTTATAGCACTGAAGTGCATACCTTGTGCGAATACACGGCCCCAATGTCGATTTTGTAAGGGCACATTTTCTGGATCTCTTTTTCCAATTCCAAGGGTGTGTTGAAAGACTGGTACCGCACGTAGATGTCATCGCGGAGCGTGAACGAAAACTCCCTTCGCTGAAAGTAATTCTTTGACACTGCAAAAGGAAGATCACATGCTAGTTACATGGTGCAGCACAGTTTCTGCTTTGAATCTCAGCTCTTCCACGAAGCTGGCAAGGCGGTCTTAGGCAAGATGCTGTTCTCCAAGCCCCAGTTCTCCTTTTGCAATATGGTGGAATAAGACAGCACACTGAACACTCTAAATGATATATATAAACTCTAAGCGTGATTATATTTTAGTCAGCCAGGTTGGCAATAATTCAGGAAAGTCTGTACAAGAAGTCCATACAACCCTAAAAATTCTGTGGCCAGCAAAATGTTGGGTCCTCCTTAACTGTCCTCTGTTAGCTGGGCTGGTCCTCTGTCCAAAAGTGTCTGCTATTTCCAGAGCCTTCCAGTACAATTCCACTTTAAAAATAACAATAAGCAGAGAAAGCAGAGGCCTTGAAGTTGTCCATTATTCGGTCACAGATCATTCAGTCACAGTCTTCCCCACTATGGTGTCATGTATTGTATTGCACTAATCATATTTAGAAGTGAGAGCTGGACCATAAAGAAGGCTGATCGCCGAAGAATTGATGCTTTTGAATTATGGTGCTGGAGAAGACTCTTGAGAGTCCCATGGACTGCAAGAAGATCAAACGCATCCATTCTTAAGGAAATCAGCCCTGAGTGCTCACTGGAAGGACAGATCGTGAAGCTGAGGCTCCAGTACTTTGGCCACCTCATGAGAAGAGAAGACTCCCTGGAGAAGACACTGATGCTGGGAAAGATGGAGGGCACAAGGAGAAGGGGGCGACAGAGGACGAGATGGTTGGATAGTGTTTTCGAGGTTACCAGCATGAGTTTGACCAAACTGGGGGAGGTAGTGGAGGACAGAGGTGCCTGGTGTGCTCTGGTCCATGGGGTCACGAAGAGTCGGACACGACTAAACGACTAAACAACAATCATATTTGCATTTATGCCAAATACATGAGCACGTGTAAATTTTATGCATGTCTGTGCTCTCTTTTTTACCACACAGGTGGCCACGCTAGCCAATGCCAGACGGGGCACGAAGGTGGCAGTGTTCCCTTGTATAGTGCTTCCAAACACAGACTCATGGAACTGAACTGTACAGTTGGAAGGGGTCCTGGGTGTCGTCTAGTCCAACCCCAATGCAGGAAGATGCAGGTGGCCTGTATGGGGATCGAACCTGCGACTTTGGTGCTATCCGCACCACCCTCTAACCAGCTGAGCTGACTGAGTCGGGGAGCTTCTGTTTAGAAGAGAGGGGAACTAGCCCCGTTGTATATCGGGGGGGGGGGGGCTGTGTGGAGAGAGTCTCTTCCTTTAAATTCCTGGGAGTTTACTTTAGTGAAGACCTCACTTGGAAAAACAATATAATTCAGGTGGTTAGGAAGGTCCAACAGAGACTCCATTTTCTCAGGGTCTTGCGAAAGAACAATGTTAAACAACAATTGATGACCTCCTTCTACACAATAGAAAGTGTCCTCTCATATTGTATCACAGTGTGGGACGTTAGCTTGACAGCCACGGACAGAAAGTCTTTACAGAGGGTGGTGAACACAGCACATGGTATCATGGGCTGTCCCTTGAGTCCGCTAGATGACATCGCAAGGGATCTTTGCCTTCGGAGAGCGAGAAAAATTCTCAGGGATGATTCACACCCCGGCCAGCAAGGAGATATAAAAGTATAATTAGTTGTACTAACAGGCTTACAAACAGTTACAGATAGGTAGCCGTGTTGGTCTGCCATAGTCAAAACAAAAAAAATTCCTTCCAGTAGCACCTTAAAGACCAACTAAGTTAGTTCTTGGTATGAGCTTTCGTGTGCATGCACACTTCTTCAGATACCAGGTATCTTCTTCAGATACCAGGTACTTCGGGTATCTGAAGAAGTGTGCATGCACACGAAAGCTCATACCAAGAACTAACTTAGTTGCTCTTTAAGGTGCTACTGGAAGGAATTTTTTTGTTTAGGCTTACAAACAGTTTCTATCCGTGGGCTGTTAAGCTGCTGAACAGAAAATAATATAGTGCAACTGACTTTAGGGGTTGGTGAATTGTGCGACAAGCACACAGAGCGCAATGAGATTGAGTGTTTGGGGGGGGGGGGTGAGGCTGGATTAATTTCATTGTACACAGCTTGTACATTGACAATAAAGGTATTATTATTATTATTTCGGTTCAGCGTAGTTCATAGTCCCTCTTCCACAAACCCGCAGAACCTCTTCTTTTGGAAACCTATTGCTCCTGCATCTTGCAGTTGTGCGTTCCTCAATTAATTCCTCAGTTAATTACAAACTGCGGGAAGAAGCCTGCCCTGAGTCTGCAGGCAGCGACTCATTTCCCTTAGCTACCCCATTTTCTTTGAACCGGGCGCCTCCTCCCGTTCCAGTGCCCACCATGAAGGGCGAGACCAGGTGCGTTTCTTCGCCTTCTGCATATGCTCAGAGGCACCCGTGTTGCAAGGCTGTGGGGGCTGAGCCCCGCCCCGGAGCACTTACGCGCCTCGACCACCTTCCCCCCAGTTGGGGGGCTTCCCTTTCGCTCCCTCCGCAGCTCCAGGGTCCCAGGAGCGCGCCTCTTCCCCCCCGCCCACCCGCCCGCTCCTTGCTCACCGTCGCCGTAGCGCAGCCACCGCCCGTAAAGGCCGAAGGGGAAGACGCGGCGGTAGTACAGCGGCAAAAGGTCGGGCAGGGAGCCGGGTTCGAAATCTGCCATGTCCAAAGAGGAAAGCGGAGCGCGCGCGCGGGAGAAGCCAGGCTCCGCCTCCCGCTTCTCGAAGAACCAATCAGAGCAGCGCCCGCCATATATGCACCGCGCCGGGGATTGTGGGAGTTGTAGTTCCGGCGAGAAAAAGCGGCCTCTGAGAGCCTCTAGCGGCCCTTTACGAAAATGTTGTTTAGTCGTTTAGTCGTGTCCGACTCTTTGTGACCCCCTGGACCAGAGCACGCCAGGCACTCCTGCCTTCCACTGCCTCCCGCAGTTTGGTCAAACTCAGGCTGGTAGCTTTGAGAACACTGTCCCACCATCTCGTCCTCTGTCGTCCCCTTCTCCTTGTGCCCTCAATCTTTCCCAACATCAGGGTCTTTTCCAGGGAGTCTTCTCTTCTCATGAGGTGGCCAAAGTATTGGAGCCTCAGCTTGAGGATCTGTCCTTCCAGTGAGCACTCAGGGCTGATTTCCTTCAGAACGGATCGGTTTGATCTTTTTGCAGTCCATGGGACTCTCCAGAGTCTCCTCCAGCACCATAATTCAAAAGCATCAATTATTTGGCGATCAGCCTTCTTTATCGTCCAGCTCTCACTTCCGTACATCACTACTGGGAAAACAATAGCTTTTACTATATGGACCTTTGTTGGCAAAATAAAAAAATAAAATAAAATTAAAAAAATTAAAAAAAGTTCTCTCCTTTCTGAGGGCAGATGAAGGCCCTTATTCCAAGAGGCTTTTGGGAGTGGACTTTTTTTTAAGCGAAAGGGCATATAATAGTGTTGTGCTGTTTTTACTGTCTGCATTTTATGGTATTTTATGGTCTCTTTCTTGTGAGTAGATCTTTGGGAGCCTGCCTACCCTGGGAGGATTCCCAAGTTCTTTAAAGTGAGTTGTAACACACACCAGATCAGTTTCTGTTTTCAAGTTCATTTCTCCATTAAATTTGATTCTATTACTATAGAATTGAAGAGATTGTTTATCCTCCTCTTCCTTATGGTCTCTTGAGAACTGGTAAATAAATGCTGCCATCAAACTCTGGCCCAGCCTGCTACTCCCTGAAGTCATTCTGCAGCTTTCTTGGGATAATTCCCACAGGAATGTCATAAGCCACAACAGGGCTAGAGCTGGCCATTCCCTTGCTACTGTGAGGCAAGGGCAATGCTTATTAGTCAACTTCACTTCCTTGGCATTCTGTTTTCAAAGCTCTGGAGAAGTTTCCAGGTGTTAAAGGTAAAGATAAGGGGACCCCTGACCATTAGGTCCAGTCGTGGCCAACTCTGGGGTTGTGGCACTCATCTCGCTTTATTGGCCAGGTCATGTGGCCAGCAGGACTAAGCCGCTTCTGGCGAACCAGAGCAGCGCACAGAAAGGCCGTTTACCTTCCCGCCGGAGCGCTACCTATTTATCTACTTGCACTTTGAGGTGCTTTCGAACTGCTAGGTTGGCAGGAGCAGGGACTGAGCAACAGGAGCTCACCCCATCATGGGGATTCAAACCGCCGACCTTCTGATCAGCAACTCCTAGGTTCTGTGGTTTAACCCACAGCACTACCCGCGTCCCTTCCAGGTGTTAGCTCTAAATAAATTATTATTTTCTCTGCAGCTGTTCCCTCCATCAGGAACTCATCAAAGACATTTCCTTGACTGAGCTCACATGGCAGGGTAGCCTCTCTAGTTACCACTTTGCCACTGAGGATGAAGTCGGGTTTGCAGCGGCGTAGCGTGGGTTGTCAGCACCCGGGGCAAGGCAAGTAATTTGCGCCCCCTAACCCGGGGCAAGGCAAGTAATTTGCGCCCCCTAACCCATGGATTTGCGCCCCCTAACCCTACAAATCTATGCCTATGAATGATGGTCCCTCTCTCTCTCTCTTTCTCATATTCCAATTGATTGCCATTTCCGCCGATCGATCCCTGAAGCACTCACCCAGCAAAATTCGTGTGTAATTACGCTTCGCCATCCCTAATCCTGCCGCTTCCACCGGGAAATCATGACGGTGTGTTTCTCCTCTCCAAAGTTTCCCCGGCCCTTTGCTGGCCGGCGCAGCCCTTTTGGCTACGAGCTCCCCTCCTTCTCTGCCCGCTTCCGACCCCACCTCCCCGTCCAGCCTCCCTACCTCCTGAAAAAAGGCGCCGGCGCCGAGCAGGACACCCCCGCGGCCATCGGAGAGAGGCGGGGCCGAGGGAGGCAAGCCAATGGGCGAGGCGGGGGTTGGTGGCCACGGGGGTGGGCGCTGCCGCAGCCCTCAGGTGGGCAAGGTAGGAGCAGGCGGAGGCTGGCTGGCCGCTCTGACAATAGGGGCGGGCCGAGGGCTGGACTCGCGCCCCCCCCAGATGTTGCGCCCGGTGCGGCTGGCACCCCTGGCACCCCCCACGCTACGCCACTGCGGGTTTGTCTACCATAAGGCGCAAGGTGCAGGTCTTGGCTAGCCTGGCAATTGTGTTCACACCGCTGAAATGGTCAAGGCACCTGCCATCTGTGGTATTGGCTCTGAAGCGCATTGGGGGAGGAACGGATAGTGGCTTGAGGGAGAAGTGCTGTCCCCTCCGCAAAACTCACGTTTGTTGATCCACCCACTTTTACCTCTGCCCAGTGTAAAAGTTCTAAGCTGAATGTGCATCAAATGCTATGCTTGTATGCATTGTGTGTGAAACTTAGTGGAGGTTTGCATTTGCAGTATTTCTGTTTTGCAGAGAACTGTAAGGTCCGTATAGTTAAAGCCATGGTTTTCCCAGTAGTGATGTAGGAAAGTGAGAGCTGGATCATAAAGAAGGCTGATCGCCGAAGAATTGATGCTTTTGAATTATGGTGCTGGAGGAGACTCTTGAGAGTCCCATGGACTGCAAGAAGATCAAACCTCTCCATTCTGAAGGGAATCAGCCCTGAGTACTCACTGGAAGGACAGATCCTGAAGCTGAGGCTCCAATACTTTGGCCACCTCATGAGAAGACTCCCTGGAAAAGACCCTGATGTTGGGAAAGATGGAGGGCACAAGGAGAAGGGGACGACAGAGGGTGAGATGGTTGGACAGTGTTCTCGAAGCTACCAGCATGAGTTTGACCAAACTGTGGGAGGCAGTGGAAGACAGGAGTACCTGGTCCAGGGGGTCACAAAGAGTCGGACACGACTAAACAACAACAGCAGCAGCAGCAACAACAACAACGTAGCAAGTGCAAACGGGTGCTTTTGCAGCTAGGGTTGCAACAGAGGGTGGAATCTTTGCTTCATTGCTCATATTAATAGATAACTCATCCCTGGGAGTCTGGGCGTCTCTCAGAAGCAACCTGTTTATTGGAATCTCTCTCTGGGCTATATTAACAAGTTACAGCTTAAAGAAAATTGGGCTGCATTGCTTGTTGTTTAAGAGCAATGTGCTGATTTCTATTTACCATGTTTTTGTGACTGGTTTAAGGTAAAACTTTGGAACTCTTTCTTGGTGTGAAGAGCTTTTTGATTCAGGCTCTGCACAAGGTCCAGATCAGGGAATTCTGCTTACATAATTCTCACAGCCCTGAAAGGTTGCTCAGGACGTAGCATGACCCTCAGCCTTATCAGCACCCTGCCAGGGCAGTTATCAGTTCACAGATACAACCCAGTACTTTGAACTTTTCTTCAGGGTTATGAGTTTGAGATATTCAACTGTGTGGATCTGGCAAGACTTTTAATTTTGGGAATAGCCATGCTAGCCTACTGGTGATGTGCAAGGAGAACAAAGGAAGGGGCTCACATGGTAGACAGTGAATGGGTGAGGTAAAGGTAAAGGGACCCCTGACCATTAGGTCCAGTCGTGGCCGACTCTGGGGTTGCGGTGCTCATCTCGCTTTATTGGCTGAGGGAGCCGGCGTACAGCTTCCGGGTCATGTGCCAGCAAGACTAAGCTGCTTCTGGTGAACCAAAGCAGCGCTCGGAAACGCCGTTTACCTTCCCACCGGAGCGGTACCTATTTATCTACTTGCACTTTGACGTGCTTTCGAACTGTTAGGTTGGCAGGAGCTGGGACCGAGCGACGGGAGCTCACCCATGTCGCGGGGATTCAAACCGCCGACCTTCTGATTGGCAAGTCCTAGGCTCTGTGGTTTAACCCACAGCGCCACCCGTGTCCCTGAATGGGTGAGGACCCTCCCTCAATTCAGAGATAGTGAAAAGGAAAAAAAAACCAACAACCAGAGATTTTGAGAGGAGAGCAGTGAGGAGATCTAGAAGCAGCTAGCTGGATAGACACCCAGAGACCAATGTTTGATATCTATTTGAATCCGAGGCTGTAGTTATGGGAGAAACAAAACCCTTTTGGGGTGCTAATGCTGTGAACCCCTCCATTGCAGGCTCAGCTTATATAGTTGTGTAAATAAACCACATAGCATGAAGACACCACGGTCTCTGCTCTGCGTAATTCCAAAAGGAAACACGAACCCTGGAAACGCGCCTGGGACCCTCTGGAATCTCGCACCGCTTGGTGATTGGGGTGGCGGGCAACACTATGTTCTTATGTTAAATGCTGGCCTACCTGTTTGTGTGTTTCTAAGGGCCAAACAAAACATGATGCTAAATGCTACACCTGAAGTGCCATGATTGATCTTTTAAAAAAAATGTTAATAGCTCCTGTGTGATTAATACCTCCTCCCTGTTGACACAGTCTGAACAAAATCAGTTAAAATGCTGCCTGATGGCAATTAACATTGAAAGCCAACCACCATGGCGCATATATATATATATATATATATATATATATATGTATGTATATGTATATATATATACACACACACACACATATATATACCATGCCCTAAATGAATGTAAATCTTTGCACGAATAAAGGAGAGTTACATCTTGAAAAATTAACGGGAAAACCTGAAAGAAGAAAGCAGGCCAAATCTGTTCTTGAAAGGCTTGCAGATAGCATTCACAGGGACATTTTGATCAGCTCCCTGCCATGCACTGTGACTGGTGCCTTGGAGAAGATGGCAAGTAGCCAGCCAGCTGCAGGAATAAGTACTTCCCTGGCTAATGATTTCAGACAACTGAAGCAGGGAAGTCATTGAACTAAGCCCCAGAATGGTTACCAATTCATAGATACACAAAGTACTTTGGACTTTTCTTGTTTTGTCAAAAAAACCCAACAACTTGGTGGCTGTTTTCCAGCCTATCCAGAACCTCCGTACAAATTCTGGGGTGGGATGTAAGGGAAAGGTTCACTAACAGAATGGATTAACAGATCTACTCTTCTGTTTGTAGAGGGTTCCTGTTTCAGACAGATTGGACAGTCAAGGTGTTGGTTGAGTTTTGAGGTAAGCAAAGCGTATTTCTTTTCGTTTGGCGATGGGAGTGCTTCCAGACAGTGACTTAATATTGTACATGGGTCACTAAGATAATCACAAATGAGTCATTGCCAACAGGTGTTTTTAATACAGAATTAATGCCTGGAGAGGGTCAAGCTGGATTAAATTGGGAGGGAGATACAGGCTGGCATTTTGATGCCACTAACACCGTGTGAATGCTGCAAAAAGCTTGCGTGCATGAGACACACCAATCCACAACACAAACGCATCTGGAAGCATCCAGGGTGTGTTTAAAAGAAGAGAGTGGCTTGAATCTTAGCTATCCTTTTTGGAAGGAAGTTGGGTGGGTTACAGCTTAATAGAATTGTCAGTAGCATTGCAAGAAGACAAGCACTGTTCTTCCTTGGAATAATGAACCTATACGTCTATTAAGTTTTACAAGAATGATATCAGTGGCTGCTTGCGGGGGGAAGCCCATGGCTCCCTAGAGGCAGAGAAATGAGGTCTCTAAAATGGAATACAGGTTACAATCTGGAACTAAGGTGCCCGGATGCAAAGGAGGACCAACCTCGGGTCTGCAGCTGCTGTTGCTGAATGCCAGGTCGACACTGAGTAAGACCTCTTTCAGCCATGATCTGATCATGGATAAGGCCAATCTGGTCTGTATCACTGAGAGTTGGGTGGGTGAGCAGGGTGGAGTTGGTCTTACCCATCTGTTCCCACCTAGATACTCTGGGCAGCATCTAGGCAGACTTGAGGGTCAGGGAGGAGGAGTTGCTATAGTCCATAGGGTTTTTGTCTTTCTCTTCAGGCTCTCTGTCCAGTTGGGTGGGATCTTGAGTGTATGTTCCTAGCACTGGGCAATTGGGACAGATTAGGAATTCTGTTGGCTTACTGTGCATCTTGCTGCCCAGCAGTTTTCCTGCCTGAGCTGGTCTTAGAAGGGGCGTTGAGGACTCCCAGACTGCTGTTTCTGGGCAACGTCAACATCCATGCCAAGGCAACTGACTCTGGGGTGGCTCAGGACTTCATGGCTTCCTTGATGACCATGGCGCCGTCCCAACATGTCACTGGCCCAATGCATGTGGCAGGTTACACTCTGGACATTGCTTTCTCAGCTGAGCAGGAAGAGGGTGATCTGAAAATGTGAAATATTGACATCAGTCCATTGTCAGGATCAGATCCCTTGACTGATTCAAGAACCTTTTCCACATCCTTTATCCTTACTAACTGAAACTCATCCAGCATAACAGGGAGGTGATTAATGCCCCCTTGAGAGAATGAATGGCTGTTAAAAGAATGGATTATGCTTAACTTTAAGTGAAAATGGCTGGCTGGGGTGCTGTGTGAGAATGTGGGGTGGCTATAACCACTTATAGGTTCCAGCCTGACCCACCCCTTGTATGCAGCCCTTTTACATGTTGCAAATGCGGACATCAAGGGGTGGGTGGCTCCCCCATCTCTCTTCTATTGCATGTCCTTTCCAGAAAGAGTCTCCCTGGAGCTTTTTTTTCCTTTTAGGATCCCTCAATATTAAGCATAGTGTCTCTGTTAATTTCAACAGAGCAGTGCCAGTTTAGTTCAGTCATTGTCACAGGCAAGGACACAGTCTCAGAAATCAGTGTAATGAACTCCAGGGCAGGCATGGCTTTGTTAATCATTACCCTTATGTTGTTATGTTAACCCTTTGAGTGTTGCAAACTGCTTTCCTAAGAGAACTTTGCTGCCCGATAACTCCAGAATAGGGACGCAGGTGGTGCTGTGGGTTAAACCACAGAGCCTAGGACTTGCCAATCAGAAGGTCAGCGGTTCGAATCCCTGCAACGGGGTGAGCTCCCGTTGCTCGGTCCCTGCTCCTGCCAACCTAGCAGTTCGAAAGCACGTCAAAGTGCAAGTAGATAAATAGGTACCACTCCGGCGGGAAGGTAAACGGCGTTTCCGTGTGCTGCTCTGGTTCGCCAGAAGCGGCTTAGTCCCGGAAGCTGTACGTCGGCTCCCTCGGCCAATAAAGCGAGATGAGCGCTGCAACCCCAGAGTCAGTCACAACTGGACCTAATGGTCAGGGGTCCCTTTACCCCTTTACCTTTACCTAACTCCAGAATGGGAATAATGAAGCCTGGCGCCTTCATTAGGTGCCTTCAGGCACCAGGCAAAAAACATTCCTTTTTAACCAGGTCTTTGGTTGAATTGATTTACATCCTATGCCCTTTCAAAATGTGGTTGTTTTTTTTGGGGGGGTAGTTATTGGGTGGTGTTTGTTTTTGTTTTGATTGTGTATTTTGTGGTTTAATATTTTGCTTTTATTCTGCAAACCACCCTGAGACCTCTGGGTATAGAGTGTATATAAATTCAATAAAATAAAATAAAAATAAACCTGGAATGCATAAAAACAACAAGAATTAAAAAACAACCCTGCCATGTTTTGCTTCCTCTTTTAAAAGAAACACACAGTGAGCATGTGGCTCCTTTTGGCAGTCTTGTTGTTCTTTGCCATCCGATGGTACCTGGAAAGGCAGAAGGTGGAAAACCTCCGAGAGAAGTATGTCTTCATCACTGGCTGCGACTCCGGCTTTGGGAACCAGCTTGCCAGGCAGCTGGATGCTGAGGGGCTAAGGGTGTTGGCAGCCTGTTTTACACAGAAAGGGGCCGAAGAGCTGGAGAGGCTCACATCAGATCGGTTGAAAACCACCCTCCTGGATGTCACCAGCACAGAGAGCATTGTGGCAGCGACTGAGTGGGCGAAAGGGTGCGTCAGAGACAAAGGTACAGTGGCTGGCTTCCAGATATGAGCTTGAAGATAGTGTGATAGGAATTTTATGGTCTTAGGTATACATGTATGGTAATGTTCATAAGTGTACCAACCAAGCACATACATAGATCAGCACAGGAAGACCAACCTGGAACCATTTTGATTCCTAAACTGAGCCAATGTTTTCTCTGCAAGGTCAAAGTGGGAAACCTCCCATTGTCTCTTTCCTCACAAATCCTGCCTTAAGGGCACATTTAAGCAGGAGAGATACAGCTATATAGCAATTTTAATTGTGTGCACAAACAGCAGTTCAAGTACAGTAATAGTTTCACACAAACAAGGGAAGATTCAAAAGAGCCATTTGTGGTATCCCATGGCAACATAAATCCATATGTGGCTCAGCTTCAGGAGTCCTCTATAGGGACTGCATAGCCAGGTGTTTCCCTTAGCTTGCCTACATAGGAACATCTTCAATAACTTTTAAAGCTTTCTACCTATCTATTTTTGGCAATGCTCCATGTCCTCCCTCTAGCCAGCATTACCACCTGTTACTCTAGGCACACAATCCCCTGCATGCTGTGATACGTTGCACACAACTAATTCTGCATCTGGCGAGCAAACTGTTTTACTACAAACCACAGCTGTTTCTTTTTTCTTTTTTAAATAATATTTATTACTTTTCCAACCATTTAAACACTACAAAAAAGTACAATAAAAAGAACAATACAATACAAAAACACTACATAACACTAACACATTAAACTAACAAAACAGAACAAAAACTAACAAAAACAGTTTAAAACACCTCAAACATTTTCAATATCTTATCTTTCATTCACTTATTTCAACGACCTCCTCACACCTCCCTTTTTGTATTCCACTTCTGTTAATTGTTTCAGCAATTCCTTTCCATCTTCCTCTGTTTTCTATCCTATAATTATCTTAACACATTCTAGCCTTATTTTTTCCTTTAATATTCTATTAATCTATTTATACTTAATTCCTTATAACATTTCTGCTAAAGCCATATAACTTCATTCCAACATTCTTCTAACATCCATTAATTTTACAATATTTCTGTAAATAGTCTTTAAACTTTTTCCAGTCTTCTTCCACCGACTCTTCTCCCTGGTCTCGGATTTTGCCAGTCATTTCCGCCAATTCCATCTAGTCCATCAACTTCATCTGCCATTATCCAACACTTCAGTGTTTTCAAGAAGCAGCCATTCTCTCAGCCAGCAAAAAGCAGCTGGTTCACAACAAAGTTTAAGGTCTGGCAGGGCAAGTCCACCTCCTTCCAAACCACAGCTGTTTCAACCATTTTTCCTCTTACTCACTAAAGCATAGAAAAAGCATGCTGAAGAACAACACTTTGATACAGAAAGGCAGATTTTAAAAACACAACTCCCACAATCCTTGTCCGAGGATGGTGGGTGGTATTGATGGGAGGTGGAGTCCAACACCATCAGCTTCCCCATCCCTAGCTTACAAAACCTTGTGAGTGCATAATTTTTAGACCCCCCCCCAGGCAACACATTTTGTTATGAGAAAATTAAATTTATTGGTGTTCCCAAGCTTTGCTTAGCCTGGGCCAGATGTTCAGCATCATTTTATCGTGTTTTTAATAGTCCTTTGGTTTCTGCCCAGAGTGGCTGGGGTATAAATAATAAATTATTATTTAATTATTATTTAATTATTAATGATGATGATGATGGTGTTCTTACTCAAATGCTAACTTGCTGCCTCTACTCCACAGGGCTCTGGGGCTTGGTGAACAATGCAGGGATTGTGGAAGCGATGGTACCCAATGAGTGGCTGGACAAAGATGCCTTTGTAAAAGTGCTAAATGTCAATCTGGTTGGACTGATTGACGTGACGCTACACATGTTGCCGCTGGTGAAGAAGGCCAGGGGAAGGGTTGTTAACGTGTCCAGCATCCTGGGGCGACTGGCTTTCTACGGAGGAGGCTACTGTCCATCTAAGTATGGGGTGGAGGCTTTCTCCGACTCTCTCAGGTAAGCTATCACTTCTGACATCACAATTGTCAAAATGCAGTGCAGAGAGGGGCTAAATATCTCAGGCCCAGATCAAGAGGAGGAAGAAGGCAATCAATTTTGGGCTTTGCTGGCTCTTTCATTCCCCCCCACTTCATAGCTGGGGACAGTGAAGCTGAACAATTACTGTATTTTTCGCTCTATAGGACACACCAGACCACAAGACGCACCTAGTTTTTGGAGGAGGAAAACAAGAAAAAAAATATTCTGAATCTCAGAAGCCAGAACAGCAAGAGGGATCGCAGATAAAGCAGCAATCCCTCTTGCTGTTCTGGCTTCTGTGATAGCTGCGCAGCCTGCATTCGCTCCATAAGACGCACACACATTTCCCCTTACTTTTTAGGAGGGAAAAAGTGAGTCTTATAGAGCAAAAAAAAGGTATGTATCCAATGCCATTTTTTTTATTATTAGCTTCCCTGCTAAGGAGTGAGGTTTTAAGAAGCACCTTTTGCAAAAATTTGGGCCGAAATGATGCCTACCTCTGCTCACTGGGTTAGCCTCGTCCCTGGAATGTGAGATAATTTTCTACGGACCTTGCAAAGTGTCCTTGACTAGCCAAGTAAGCTTTTGAGTTCAGCTGTTTACAATCACCTACCCTCGCTCCCAAAATTCACCCTCACTCACCATTTCCTTTAATTGCCAGACCCAGATTCAAACTAAATTAAATATTCAATTTCTTCCCATATAACTGTCGTCTGTTAGCCACAGTTGCAGGGGTAGCTGTATGAACCATGTCAAACCCATTGTTTCTTTCCAGGCGCGATCTCCGCCCATTTGGGGTGAAAGTAGCCATGGTGGAGCCAGGCTATTTCCGAACAAACATGACTAACATCCAGCACAGCATGAGCGTCCTCGAGCAGCAATGGGTCCACACCCCACAGGAAGTCAAAGATAGCTATGGACAGACCTACTATGAGAGATGTGAGTCCTCCATGTGGTCTGTGGGGAGAGAACTGGGGCTGCCATTGAGATAAAGGTGGATGGAGAACCTAGCGCCCTTCAGATGTTGTTGGATTGCAACTCCCATCAGCCCAAGTCATCATAACCAATAGCTGGGGATAGTGGGAGTTGGAGTCCCGCAACATTTTGGAGGGCCACAGGTCCCTTGCATTTGTGAACCTCTGCCAGCAGAGCTTCCCTGTCCATTTGAAGGATGGGAGCTTTGCCCTTAATATTGGGTTGCATCCACACCATACATTCAAAGCATGTTTATACCACTTTAACGGTCATGGCTTCTCCCAAAGAATCCTGGGAATTGTAGTTTACCCCTTGCGGAACTATAACCCCCAGCAGCCTTAACAAACTACACTTCCCACGATTTGGGGAGGGGAGCCATGATTGTTAAAGTGGTATATATGTGATTTACAGGCATGGTGTGCTTGGTGCTGGAGAATCATTTTGAAGCCATTTGGGGGCCTTCTGCCCTTTTCACAGTACAGTGGTACCTCCGGTTACCTGAAACTGTCCTTAACCTGAGGTACCACTTTAGCTAATGGGGCCTCCTGCTGCTGCTGCTGCTGTACCGCCACCGCGCAATTTCTGTTCTCATCCTGAAGCAAAGTTCTTAACCCGAGGTACTATTTCTGGGTTAGCAGAGTCCGTAACCTGAAGCGTCTGTAACCTGAGGTACCACTGTAGTCATCAGTCACAACTCAGGCACTCATTGGCTAAAACAGTGGAAGGTGGAAGCAAGTCAATATCTCACAAAGGACTTTTGCTCTGTGTCATTTGTTCCAAAGGAGCTAGAGACTTAATACGTCTTTTTAAAATGAAATCTCAGAGTCTGCCCTGTGTTGGTTCTGGGCCCAGTAGTACAGAGGTGCCCCTTGCACTTACCCCCTTTGGTGGCCCTGATTCCTTTTGATGAGTCAGAATTGTCTCCTGACATAGGAAGGGGGGAGAGACCTGATTCTGCAACAGCCTCATCTGCTGGCCGGTCTCTCTGATTTCTGCTGCTTGTCTCTATGATTTATGGTTAGCCCCCTAAGGGTTCTATCTTCCTCCCAGTCTGAAAACAAACTCATTGGGGGGAAAAGATCATCTGCCCTACTTCCTCCCTCAGACTTGGCAAAGTCCCAACTGCTCAAAGGTTTGTTGATTTCTTTAATGGAACAGGGAATGTACCTTTCCAAATTCAGAAAGTGCTCTTTTTTTGGGGGGGGGGGGAGATGGTTGAGTGATTAGCACCAGTTCTTGTTGTTGATTTGAAAACTGTTCATATGCCACCCTGACTGTCCCACAGAGAATGGCTTCATATCCTTTGCCGTGTTTTGGACCACAAATCTTCTCCTCTAACTCCCTCTCTTTTTCTTCTCAGGGCGCCAGTTGCTCAAAGAGGCCCTCATAACTCGATGCAGCACTAACCTCTACCTGGTCACTGACTGCCTGGAGCATGCCTTGACGTCCCGGCACCCTCGCACACGCTACTCTGGAGGCTGGGACTCCCAGTTCTTCTTCGTTCCTCTCTCTTACATGCCCACAGCGTTGGCAGACCTTGTGCTGACCTGGTCTTGGCCCAAACCTGCTCAGGCCGTGTAAAGACAGTGACGTGAAAATAGTGGCTAGGGAAAGAAAAGGGGGGATTGGGTAGCCAGATGCAAGAGAAGAGAGACAAGGCTCCTACGCTTTCAATCGTTGTGTGCAAAAGGGAATTTCAGCATGTGTGGTTTGTGTTGGTGAGCTGTGCATGTTGCACGTCCCTCTTCTATGTAACTATTCAAGGTTCAGGAGCCTTCTCTGCTTCTGCTGCTGGCCACAGGGCGCACAGGTTGCTACATCTCACACCTTCCTGAGATTCTCACCTTTCTGAATTTTCTGATGGAGTTCTCCAAACCAATAACGTGTCTATAAGGGTCAGGAACAGAAACCAGTCAAAAGAGTAGGATCATTACTGGTTCACATCATTGTTGTTATCAAGTCACCGAATAACAGAACTGTAGACTTGGAAGGGACCCTGAGGCTCATCTAGTCCAACCCCCTGCAATGCAGAATCTCAACTAAAGCATCCATGACAGATGGCCATCCAACCTCTGCTTAAAACCCTCCAATGAAAGCGAGTCCACATCCCCCAAGGAAGCTTCTTAGAATGAATAAAGAAGAGGCGCCACCAAGTCTGCAAATGCCATGTAATCAATAACTTTTTTGGATCTGATGATTCCTTTACACTGACATGAATGTACATTATGTAAGCTAAGTAACTTGTACTAAACAGCAGACAGCGAGGCAATTCACGTGTCTGGTGGAAACCAAACTGCAGTAGAATGGAAGCAGCTGTCTTCCTCCCACTTAGAAATAAAAGAGAGAAACCAAAACTGACAGGTCTGTTCACTCCTAGCTTTTCGTGCGCCACTTTGTTTCCCTTCTGAAAAGCTTTTTGCCTTACTAACTGGATATTGGGTAGAAATTCAACAGGCACAACTCTGCCCCAGTCTGGAGGTGCATGGAGAAAAGGGCTGCCCCCAGTAATGTTCCGTCTGTTGCATTAAAAACACATGGCTTCTCAAGCTGCAATTCATGCAAGAGGCGGTGTGGGAACCTCAGGTGTAACCCTCAACTTCTCGTTTGTTTGTTTGTTTTTTTAAAAAATATTTATTGAGGTTTCCAAAAATTTGTATAAAAATAAAAAAGAGAAAAAACCCAAAAACAAAAATACAAACAAAACACAAACAACAACGAGTATAATTTCAATCCCTTATTTTCTTATAACTTACTTTCCCGACCTCCTGATACCTCCCCTTTCTGTATTCCAATCTCTAATTATTTAATTCAGCAAATCCCTCCCCTAATTTCTATTTAATTTTTAACCTTTCTTTTCTTAATTACATAATCATTACAGCTAGAAACCACTTAATTTCTAAACCAACATTGTTCTAACATTCAATAATTTTACAATGTTTCTTAAGATAGTCCTTAAACTTCTTCCAATCTTCTTCCGCCGTCTCTCTTCCCTGGTCTCGGATTCTGCCGGTCATTTCTGCCAGTCCCATATAGTCTATAACCTTCATCTGCCATTCTTCCACGGTGGGTAGCTCTTCTGTCTTCCAATACTTTGCGATGAGTATTCTTGCTGCTGTTGTAGCATACATAAAGAATGTTCTATCCTTCTTTGACACCAATTGACCGACCATACCCAGGAGAAAGGCCTCTGGTTTCTTCAGAAAGGTATATTTAAATACCTTTTTCATTTCATTATATATCATTTCCCAGAAAGCCTTAATCCTTGGGCACGTCCACCAAAGGTGAAAGAATGTACCTTCAATCTCTTTACATTTCCAGCATTTATTATCAGGCAAGTGGTAAATTTTTGCAAGCTTGACTGGAGTCATGTACCACCTGTAAATCATTTTCATAATATTTTCTTTTAGGGCATTACATGCCGTAAATTTTATACCGGTGGTCCACAACCGTTCCCAGTCAGCAAACATAATGTTATGACCAATATCTTGTGCCCACTTGATCATCGCTGATTTTACCGTTTCATCCTGTGTATTCCATTTCAACAGCAAGTTATACATTTTTGACAAATTCTTAGTTTTGGGTTCTAACAATTCTGTCTCCAATTTTGATTTCTCCACCTGGAAACCAATTTTCCTATCTAACTTGTAAGTCTCCAATATTTGATAATAATGAAGCCAGTCTCGCACTTTGTCTTTTAATTTCTCATAACTCTGCAATTTCAATTTATCCCCTTCTTGTTCCAGAATTTCCCAATATGTCGGCCATTTGGACTCCATATTGAGTTTTTTCACAGCCTTTGCCTCCAATGGCGACAACCACCTTGGAGTTTTGTTTTCCAGCAAATCCTTATACTTAATCCAGACATTATACAATGCTTTCCTGACAATATGGTTTTTAAAAGCTTTATGAGCTTTAACCTTGTCGTACCACAGATATGCATGCCACCCAAAAGTATTATTAAAACCTTCTAAGTCCAAAATGTCTGTGTTCTCTAGAAGCAGCCAGTCTTTCAGCCAGCAAAAAGCTGCTGATTCATAATATAATTTTAAGTCTGGCAGGGCAAATCCACCCCTTTCCTTTGCATCAGTTAATATCTTAAATTTTATTCTGGGCTTCTTGCCCTGCCAGACAAATTTAGAAATGTCTTTCTGCCACTTCTTGAAACAGTCCATCTTGTCCACAATTTGCAATGTTTGAAACAAAAACAACATTCTAGGCAATACATTCATCTTTATAGCTGCAATTCGACCCAACAAGGAAAGCTTCAAATTTGTCCAAATTTCTAAGTCTTTTTTCACTTCTGTCCAACATTTCTCATAGTTATCTTTAAACAAATTCACATTTTTAGCTGTCATGTTAATCCCCAGATATTTCACTTTCTTAACCACAGTTAACCCTGTCTCATTCTGAAACCTCTCCCTTTCTATAGGTGTTAAATTTTTCTCTAATACTTTAGTTTTTGATTTGTTCAATTTAAATCCTGCTACTTGACCAAACTCTTGAATTAATTCTAAAACCCTTTTAGTACTATATTCTGGCTCTTGTAATGTAAGTACCAAATCATCTGCAAATGCTCTCAGTTTGTATTGTTTAACTCCGACCTATACCCCTTTAACTTCTCGTTTGTTTGTTTGTTTTATTCTGTGGCAGCCAGTCCTGACCTCACTGTAGAGACTGTGGTGAGGGGGAAAAGTTTCTGCTTCTTCCATTCATCCCATTCCTTACACATAAAATTTGATCTTAATCTAATTAGTTCTTTGTTTTTAAAAAGCTTTCAGAATTTTCTAACATACATTCAGGATATATTCATAATAGATCATATACTGTACTACATTTGCAAACAAATTCCTTTTCCAATAATTAATAAAAGCTCATTGCTGTACAGTGGTACCTAGGGTTAAGGACTTAACGTTCTTAACCTGAAACTGTTCTTAACCTGAAGCACCACTTTAGCTAATGGGGCCTCCTGCTGCCGCTGCACCGCCGCCACGTGATTTCTGTTCTCATCCTGAAGCAAAGTTCTTAACCCGAGGTACTATTTCTGGGTTAACAGAGTCTGTAAACTGAAGCATATGTAACCTGAGGTACCACTGTATTGTTGCCTGACTCCTTTGGACCCTATGTCATGAGGTAGTTTGGCAAAAGAAAAGAAAAGAAAAAAAGAATAGCATAGGCCATTTTATTTTCCTATTCTGTGATAGTAGTCACATTTTCTAATAAGGGACCACAATGGCCATCTAGTCCAACCCTCTGCAAAATAAGTCATGCCAGAGCAATCTGATGTCTTTTTTGGATGGAATTACAAACTTGGTGGATCAGGGGAATTCTGTGGACATAGTGCACCTTGATTTCAGTAAGGCTTTTGACAAAGTCCCCCATGACAGTCTCATGAGGAAGCTGGTAAAATGTGGGTTAAATGAGGTAACTGTTAGGTGGATTGACTGACCGAACCCAAAGATACTCATTAATGCAGGCATAGGCAAACTTGGCTCTCCAGATGTTTTGGGACTACAACGCCCATCATCCCTAGCTAACAGGACAAGTGGTCAGGGGTGATGGGAGTTGTAGTCCCAAAACATCTGGAGGGCTGAGTTTGCCTATGCCTGCATTAATGGTTCCTCATCACTGTGGGAAAAAGTGACCAGTGGGGTGCCACAGTGTTCTGTCCTGGGCCCATTGTTGTTCAACGTCTTTATAAATGACTTGGATGAAGGAATTGAGGGGATGCTCATCACATTGGCAGAAGACACCAAACTGGGAGGGGTCGCTAATGCCGCGGGAGTCAGAATCCGAATTCAAAATGACCTTACGATGGAGCATGAACACCCCAATAGATCTTATCTGAATAATTTTTATTAACAGACCAATTAAATCAAATCACATAAATTCCAAATTACAAAGCCGAATTTTAATTTTTTTGTTGGGGGTACCCATATTTCAAGTTCCGAAAGGGATCCAATCCTCTTGTTACTGCTGCTTTAATGTCCACAAATAATGTTCACAATTCTATCCAATCCTTTCTTGTTGTTTTCCACACCTCTTCTTGTCATTTTCATATATTTTTCCTTTCTTTTTGTCTTTGTGACCTCTGATAGTCTCCACAAGCGGGTTGAAACAAATTTGTAATCCTGTGTGGGTTTTTCCGTTCATCCAAGGGTCATATTCAGACGGCTACCGTATTTCATCGCTTCCATAAAGAAAAACACTCTTACCGTCTACTCATTAAATTTTTCACAGGTCTGTCACTCCATTTCTCATTCCTGAGGAGGTTCTGCCAGGAATCCAATATGAAAACAAAGCTTCCTCCTCCCGATCATAAATCTTTCGACAGAACCTGCCAAGATGGCAACTCCCTTTTTATTACTGCACCATTCCAATAGCCCTTGTTCTTTTCTCGATCTCCATAAGTCAAACTTTTGGTTAGTATTTCATCTCCACACAGTTTTTAATCATACTGCTTAGGTCAGTTATGCGATGGTTCTTTCTTGGTTGGGGAGGTTAATCACATAGAAGAAAAGAACCCCCCCCATCCAGTCCCGCTGGTACATAAAATGATGTACCAATGGTATCTAACTCGTGAAATTATTTAGACTGTATAAAGGTGTTTGAAATGTTTGTTGTTTTTTTTAAATTAAATTTTTATTGAAGTTTTAACAACACCATAACAAACTGAGAAAAAAGAAAAAAGAAGAAAAATGACATACAAATACAACAAATAAAACACGTATAACTTCAATTTTTACTTTTTTTTAGCTTACTTTCACGACTTCCTCATACCTTCCCTTTCTGTATTCTAATTTCAAATTCAATTGCCAGCAAATCCTTACCCTACTTTTAAATTAGTTTTAATGACAATTATTTTCTTCAAATTATCCCTTACCGCTTTTAACCCCTTAATGACCAATCCAGCATTTTTCTAACCTTCATTAATTTTACAGTATTTTTTTAGATACACTTTAAATTTCTTCCAGTCTTCCTGCGCCGTATCCCTTCCCTGGTCACAGATTCTGCTCGTCATTTCCGCCAATCCCATATAGTCTATCACCTTCAGTTGCCATTCTTCCACGGTGGGTAGTTCTTGCGTCTTCCAGTACTTTGCGATTAGTATTCTTGCTGCTGTTGTAGCATACATGAAAAATGTTCTGTCCTTCTTTAACACCAATTGGCCGACAATGCCCAAGAGGAAGGCCTCTGGTTTCTTAGGGAAAGTGTACCTAAGTACCTTTTTCAATTCATTATAGATCATTTCCCAGAAGGCCTTGATCTTTGGGCACGTCCACCATAGGTGAAAGAATGTTCCTTCAATTTCTTTACATTTCCAACATTTATTATTGGGCAAGTGATAAATTTTTGCGAGC